TATGGGAAACCAATCCCGCTGCTGCTCCCCATGTCAAGACACAGGGATCAATGGGATCCCGGGCTCACCCCTCCTCCTGTATGACGTGTTGGAGCCGGGGCACCATGAGCTCCGGGGTGAGGGGCCCGAAGCGGAAGCGCGTGCAGCGGGACTGCAGGGCCGGGATGATCTTGGACAGGTAATTGCAGATGAGGCAGAAGCGGGTGTTTTCGGTGAACTTCTCAATCACTGCAAAGGGGAGGGAGGAGAAGCTGGTCCTTGTCTGCCCCTCCGGCCAGGCGGGGGCTGAGGGGTGTCAATGGGTCCCCTATGCCCCTCACCTCGCCTCAGGGCGTTCTGAGCATCCTGGGTCATGGCGTCGGCCTCATCCAGGATGACGAGCTTGAAGCCTTTCCTTAAAAAAGAGGGGGAAAAGGGGATGGGTTTGGTCCTGGCTGTGGCTTGGTGCTGGAGAAACGGGAGTGTGGGATGCTGTTCCCAGCCTGACCCCCATGGATGCCTCATCCCTGGGTCCTTCCTACGTGCTGCCACCCCAAGTCCACTTCCCAAGCCAAGCACTGGGCAGGCTGTGTTGTTCGGGGGGGGTGATGATGGGATTGGGAACTCTGGGAAGCTTTGGGAAGCACAGACCCACCACTTACTTAAAGATGGTCCTGGTGCTTGCAAAGCTCAGGATGGGCCCTCGGACGATGTCGATACCCCGGTCATCGGAGGCGTTGAGCTGGAGGGAGGCAGCGTGGATCCGTATCCCTTCCTGAGGATGCTCGCAGGGGAGGCGGGACCCCCTTATCCCATCCCATTCCCACTCACCTCCAGCACCATGGAGCCAAACTCGCGCTCCCGGTAGAGCTGCTTGGCGCAGGCGAGGATGGTGGATGTCTTACCGGTACCGGGGGGGCCATAAAGGAGGAGATGCGGGAGCCGGTCCTCGCTGATGAACCGCTGCACTGGAGCGGGGAGAACAGCGGGGTTGGGGGGTGCCCGGTGCCGGGGGGGTGTCGGGGGTTACCGGAGGGGGGTATTTACCAGTGCTGAGGATATCGCGATGCGATACCAGCTCCGACAGCGCCTGCGGCCGGTACTTCTCCACCCTGCACCGGGAGAGGAAGGGGTCAGCCGGGGCTCACCCCGGGGGTCACCCTTGGGGTCACAGCTCCCCCCCTCCGGTACCGATCGTACCACGGCAAGTTCGCGCCGCCCGCCCGCGCCATGGCGCGCCGCCTCGCGAGAGCGCGGGAAAGGGGCGTGGCTTGGCCGCGGAGCCCGCTTGGGGGCGTGGCTTGCGCATTGGGGGGGTGTGGCCAGGGGCGGTTTGGCGCGGAGCGGCGGCACCGCGTGGGTTTGGAGGGAGCGAGGGGTTGGTGGTGCCCAAAGCGAGGTGATGGTTGTGGGTTCGGGGGGAGCTGGCGTCAGAATTGCTAAGGTGAAGTTCTGGGGATGCTTGTGGGGAGAGCTTGGTGCTGGTGGTGCTAAGTGAGGTGATGGGCATGGTTCTGGGGAGAGAACAGCACTGGGAGCTGCTAAGGAAGGTGATGGGCATGGTTTTGGGGAGAGAACAGCACTGGGAGCTGCTAAGGAAGGTGATGGGCATGGTTTTGGGGAGAGAACAGCACTGGGAGCTGCTAAGGAAGGTGATGGGCATGGTTCTGGGGAGAGAACAGCACTGGGAGCTGCTAAGGAAGGTGATGGGCATGGTTCTGGGGAGAGAACAGCACTGGGAGCTGCTAAGGAAGGTGATGGGCATGGTTCTGGGGAGAGAACAGCACTGGGAGCTGCTAAGGAAGGTTCTAGGGGAGCCCTGTGCCAGGTCCTTATGGGTGAGGGACGCCCATTGGTCTCAGGCTGAGGTTCATGCAGCAGCTCCAGGGGCTGGATGGGGGAAGACCTGCTATGGTTGTCTGAGTGCAATGGGAACAGCAAATGCTAGGGGTGTCCATGGGGATGGGAACACCTTTATCCCTGTTCCTGCTGCTTCCCCGTGCATGAGGACAGCCCCAAGATCTGCAGGTCTCTGTTTCCTGGTGATGAACTCCAGAACCAGCTCTGTTCCGCACTGCCGAGGTGGCTCCTGGCTATTCCCAGTGTGGCCTCCAAGGGAAGAGCTACTTCAGGCCAGGCTTTGGGAAACAGTTGGGATCTCCTTAGAAAAGGGGTTCAGAGGGAAAAATCACCCAAGTTTGCTGGTGTGGATGATGGTTCTTGGAGGGAGAAAGGAAAGCCGGCAGCAGCGAGAGGCTCTGGCTTGGAGAGCACAGGGAGATGATGGGGAGCATCCGTAGGGAAGTTGATGGGATGGGGAAGGTACTGGGGAGGCAAAAATAAGTCATGGAGAAATCCAGCTGGGAGTAAAGCCAAATGAACTGGGAATAAAGCTGGCAAGGGAAGGGAAAACATCAAGCCCCTGTGTCCAACCTGGCCTTTGATGGATAAAGCTGTTGGGGTTGGCTCGTGCTGTCCGTGGAGTTGATATGGACTGGGATGGGTCTGTCAGCTGGGACCAAGGTGAAATCAACTGGGAATGAAGTCAGATCTCTGAAGCCAAGGAGGGGACTGGTGAGGGGAGGAATGGGGAATGCTTTGGGAATGGGGCAGGGGCAGTTTCCTTGCAGCATCATCCTGGCTTTGCCTTTCCCCCAGAACTGCTGGGCTCATTGGCCTGGCTTGGCCATTCTGGACTGGCTCTGGGTATCTCTTATAGATACATAGCTACAAATGACAGGAACCTATGTTTCTGTGTGTATATACACACATGGGCATTGAATATACCAAGCTCCAGTAAAGCTTTTCCAGTAGCTGGCAGAGGGAATGGCTCTTCCCCAAGGGGATGTCTTCAGCACAGGGGGGCCAATGCCTGCACCCCTGTTCTTATTCCTCTCCCTGGGGCTGGGCTGAACCCCCAGATACCTGCCTGTAGTAGGGAGAAGTGGGGTTCACCCCCTGTGTGTGTGGTCAGTGGCTCTGGCCACTGTGGAATAGAGATCCCAGGATGAGCATGGGGCTGGAAGGTGTTTCTGGCTTCTACCCATCAACCTGGGTGTGAGCGTGGGGCCATCACCGTGGCCTCTGGGTAGGAAGGGGTGTTGGGGTGCACCCTCCCACTGCATCCTTGGCTTTCCCTGCGTCCCGCTGCAGGTTTCCATCCTGGCTGCCCACCTGCTCATTCCCTTCTCCATTGGAGACTCCCTTGGGGTCCATAGGGTGAAGCAGGATTTGGCCTGGCCCTGAGCAGAGGGGCTGCAAGGGGGGGCTGGGGGCAGTTCCCTGTTGCACCCCAATACAGCTTCCTTAGGCTTTGGGGGTGCACATCCCCTGTACCCCCCCCCTCCTGCTGCTCCTGCCTTGCACATAGCACAGCCAGGCCAGGGATCCCAATTGATGCAGCAACCCCCATTGCAGCTGCACCCCCAATGCACCAGGACCCCCCCCCCATTGCACCAGGGTCCCCCATTACCTCAGGCCCACGGAATTGCTCCAGCCCTCCCCCAGTGCAGAAGGGTCCCTGCGCCCCCCCCCCCCCGCATCACCCCAGCTTCCCCCATTGACCAGGGGCCCCAATTGCCCCCCAGTGCAGTGGGACCCCCATTGCATCTGCCCCCCCCACCCCGTCCATTGCAGGAGCCCCCCCGTGGTGCTCCCCCGCTGCACCATGCCAGGGGCAGGGGCTGGTATGAGGTGGCAGAGGGAATGGGGTTGGAGATGGGATAGAAGGGGATGGGATGCAATGAGATGGGATATGGATGTGATAGGATGGGGGGATGAAGATGGAGATAGGAATAGGGGTGCGATGGGATGGCATATGGGGATGGGATGTGGTGAGATGGGATGGGATACGGATGTGGTGGGGGGGGATGAGGAGGAAGATGGGAATACGGATGGGATGTAATGAGATGGGGTATGGATGGGATGGCATGGGGGGATGAGGATGGAGATGGGAATAGGGATGGGATGTGACGGGATGGGATGCAATAAGATGTGATGGGATGGGGGGATGAGGATGGAGTGGGAATAGGGATGGCATGTGATGGGATATGGATGTGATGGGATGGGGAGGATGAAGATGGAGGGGGAATAGGGATGGGATGTGATGTGATGGGATGCCATAAGATGTGATGGGATGGGGGGGATGAGGATGGAGTGGGAATAGGGATAGGATGCAATGAGATGGGATGGGGGGATGAGGATGGAGTGGGAATAGGGATGCGATGCAGTGAGATGTGGTGGGATGAGGGGGATGAGGATGGAGTGGGAATAGGATGGGATGTGATGGGATGGGATGCAGTGAGCTGGGTTGGGATGGGGAGGATGAGGATGGAGTGGGAATAGGGATAGGATGCAATGAGATGGGATGGGTTGGATGAGGATGGAGTGGGAATAGCAATGCGATGCAGTGAGATGGAAGGGGATGCAATGAGATGGGATGGGGGGATGAGGATGGAGTGGGAATAGGGATGGGATGCAATGAGATGGGATGGGGGGATGATGATGGAGTGCGAATAAGGATGGGATGGGATGCAGTGAGATGGGGTGGGATGGGATGGGGGGGATGAGGATGGAGTGGGAATAGGGATGTGATGCAGTAAGATGTGATGGGATGAGGGGGATGAGGATGGAGTGGGAATAGGGATGGGATGGGATGGGATGGGATGCAGTGAGATGGGTTGGGATGGGGGGGATGAGGATGGAGTGGGAATAGGGGTGGGATGCAGTGAGATGTGATGGGATGGGGGGATGATGATGTAGTGGGAATAGGGATGGGATGTGATGGGATGCAGTGAGATGGGATGGGATATGGATGTAACGGGGATGGGGGGGGGGTACCTCGCGGAGCAGCGCGCAGCGAGCGCGGCCCCGCGGTACCGGAGCGCGCCGCCCCCGCCCCCGCCCCGCCGCGCCCGGGGTGCGGAGGGAGGGGGGGGGGGGGGGTAGGCGGCGGCGCTGACGCTCGGTGGGCACCGCACCGCGATGCTGCGGGCCGCGGAGGAGCGGGGCTGAGCGGCGGCGGGGGGGGGGGGGGGGCGGGGGGCGGCGGGGCGGCGGCGGGGGGGGGGGGGGGGGGGGGGGGGGGGGGGGGGGGGGCGCGGCGGGCGGGGGGGGAGGACAACATGACGAGGAGCGAGGAGCAGCAGCTGAGTCTGCAGAAGGCGCTGCAGCAGTGCGAGCTGGTCCAGAACATGATCGACATCAGCATCTCCAACCTGGAGGGGCTCCGCACCAAGTGCGCCGCCTCCAACGACCTCACGCAGAAGGAGATCCGCACCCTGGAGGTAGGGGCCTGACGACCCCCCCCCTTCCCCTCCATCTCAACCAACATCACCCCCCCCCTCCCTCCATCTCCCACCCCCCCCCTCCCGGGCCGCGCCGGTTCCCCCGCGGCGCTGCGGAGCGCCCGAGTGAGGCTGCGCGCTCTGCGGGTGGCCCCGCACCGCCGAACCCTCCCGGAGGGGTCCGGGCCGGCCCCGGCCCCGCAGCATCGCCCCCGGCCCCGCCGCATCCCTCCTTCAGGCTCCTGCTCCAGCCCCCTGCATCCCCCCGGCCTGGCTGCATCCCTGCCGCTGCGCTGCATCCCTTTGGCTCTTGTGATGCGCTCCGGTCCTCCGGCCTGCCTGTATCCATGGGGCTCCTACTTCCCTTCCTATCCCTTCCCACCGGCAGCATCACCTCCAGCCCACCTGCATCCATCCCTCCCACCAGCAGCATTCCCCCGGCTTGGTTACATCCTTCTCCCTGTTATTCCAACCTCCCAAGCAGGCAGCATCCCCTTGCTGGGATGAAGGCCAGCATCCTCATCCCCGGTTCCTTCTCTATGGTACCCAAATCCTCTGGCCTATCCAGACAGTGGGAAGGGGAGCCTTCACCAAGCCATGCTGCCGTGCCAAGGGGAGCACCAGTGGATTTATCAATGTTTCATAGATGGGCAATACACATCTAAGCAAAAGCTGCCGAGTGGGGCCCTGTCTGTTAGATATAGGACGACATTCCCCATTGGATCATGCCAGGCCCCAGCTGGGGATGGATTTGGGGTTCATTAGGAGGTTGTTGGGCTGGGATGGGTGGGATGGTGTGGGCAGGTTGGGATGCTTGGATACAGAGTGAGGCCATGAGGGTGCTGTGATCCCGTCCATGGGGCTGTGCCAGTGTGGAGGTGGCTGATGTGGAGCCAGGGCTGTGGGTGGAAGGATTTCAGAGCCTGGCCCTGCTCAGGCCTTTGGGATGGTGCTTTGGAACCTGGGAGCTCGCACTGGGAACACCAACATGGTGGCAAAGTGGTTCCAGGGCTCGGGTGCACAGGGCCCTGTCCTGCAGCTGCTTTGCTGGGTGCCCTTTGGCTCTGGACCATGTCCTAAGTGTCCAAACGCTCCCGAAGGTCCCAAGTGCTGTGGGATCGAGCTGGGCATCCCCATGTGGCTGCTGTGCCCCTCGTGGGGGCACCCTCCTCTTCCTCCTGGCACTGATTTGTGCTGCGCTCCCACACTGATCCTGCCGTCCCCTTCCCTTGATCCGAGCCCTGCCCCATCCCAGCTCCCCATGTGAAGGGCTGGTGGTCCATGTGTGGCCCTGGAGCAACCTCAGAGGAGGGACAGGGATGTGGGGATGGAGCAGCAACGGTTTTGGGGTGTGTGTGTGACTTTGTGGGGAGCAGACAGGCTCCAAACCCAGCCAGAAGAGCTGATGTGTGGAGGTGCAGGGCTACAGAAGTTTATCCCATGGGGGGTTTATCTCACATGGAGTTTATCCCATGTGGAGTGATGGCCTCATTATGGTCAGGGTGGTGATGAGTTATTGCCTTTGGGTCTGAGGGATGCTCAGGAGTGTGGTGAAGCATCCTGGTGGATGTTCCTTCCCAGCATCCAGCATCCTGGGGCAGCTCAGCCTGGCAGGTTCAGAGTTGGATGCATGGATTCCACCCCATGAATCCCTCGTGCTCACAGGGAAGCATCTCTCCAGCCCTATGGATTGTGCTGCTCCTGCTGTGGGGAGCCCAAGCATCCCATCCCCTAAAACACCCCCAAAACCACGTTGCCTGCTGCATGTCTCATCTATGGGCATCCCAGTGGATGCTCACCGTGTCTTTCAGCACAGGGTGATTCCCAGGGTGAATCCATGGCCAGATTCCCAATGCCGGCTCATCGGTGTGGGAATGGATCCCGCTGGTGTTGTCCTGTGGTGCTGCCAGCATAAGTAGGGCTGAGCTTGGCCCTGAGTCCTGCTGCCACCAGTGCGTCCCAAGGACGTGATGCAGAGATCTGCTCAGCACCTCTTCCCTTCCCATCTGGCAGCAGCAGAGCAGGGCCAGGCACCAGCATGGCCAAGGGGATGGTGGCTGGGACACGAGCTTGTTATAACATGAGTGAATCCATGGTTTTTGGTTAATCCTTGTATGCTAAAGCCTGATTTTGATGAATTAATAGTGGTGTTTCCCTGTTTTTCTTCTTTAAACCACTCTAAGCTCAAGTGAGTTCCCATCCTTCATGTGTTGTGGTTGTGCAGGGAGCTAGACACAGCATCCTGTGGTGCAGCATCCTTCCTTTGGGATGGGTACCACTGCATCACGTGGTGCAGCATCTTTACTTTGGGATGGGTACCACTGCATCCTGTGGTGCAGCATCCTTGCTTTGGAATGGGTATCGCTACATCCTGTGGTGCAGCATCCTTACTTTGGGATGGGTAACACTGCATCCTGTGGTGCAGCATCCTTGCTTTGGAATGGGTATCACTACATCCCGTGGTGCAGCATCCTTCCTTTGGGATGGGTACCACTGCATCACGTGGTGCAGCATCCTTACTTTGGGATGGGTAACACTGCATCCCGTGGTGCAGCATCCTTCCTTTGGATGGGTATCACTACATCCCATGGTGCAGCATCCTTACTTTGGGATGGGTACCACCGCATCCTATGGTGCAGCATCTTTGCTTTGGGATGGGTACCACTGGCTGCAGCCAGGATTCAGAGGTACTTCTCAGGGCTGGAATGATTTGGGGTCTTGGTTGTAGCTTGGGATGGGCTCCAGTCAAGGCAGAGGCTGCGACCAAACACCAGCTACGACCACCTGGGATGTTTGTGCTGTTCTTTGTGATACCCCCATCCCATTCAAAAGCATGGATCAGGACTCCAAGGATAACTTCAGGATCAGTGGTTTCCCCTCCCCAGGCTGCCACGCTCCTGCTGGGAAGAGGGAAACCACCTGGGATGCTTTTGGCTTCTGCTTGAATGTGTGGGTGAGGATGGAAAGAGGCACCTGGGGAAGAGCCATAGCCATAGGAGATGCTGCCTCAGCACTGGGGTTTTCCCTACCTGAGTGTGTGGAATCTCTGGTGCCTGATAGCATGGGTGAGCACAGCACGTTTCTCCCTGGGCTGTATCCTCCTGGAGAGCCTGGCGCCTCCAGGATGCTGGCCTGAGCCATCTTGGCCCCTGTACTCCCAGAGAGAGCCCCAGGGACCAGTCAGCAGTGCTTGAAATAAAGGATGTGCAGAGCCAGGGATGGCGTGAGAGGGGAAACAGAACCGTGCCCAGGAATTCCCCAGCCCCAGCTGCTCCAGGTGTCTCTGGAATAATGAGTCCCTTGGTAGGAGTCAGGGAAAAGTCACCCTGGTGTGGCTGTGGAAAAGCTGGGAATAACAGGAGGTGCAGAGCATGAGGGCATCCGACACGGGCATGGGCTGATGCCACCATAGAATCCCAGCCTGGTTTGGGTTGAAGGGACCTTAAAGCTCCTCCAGCTCCAACCCCTGCCACGGGCAGGGACCCCTTCCACTGGAGCAGCTTGCTCCAAGCCCCTGTGTCCAACCTGGCCTTGAGCACTGCCAGGGATGGGGCAGCCACAGCTTCTCTGGGCACCCTGTGCCAGCGCCTCAGCACCCTCACAGGGAAGAGCTTCTGCCTAAGAGCTCAGCTCAGTCTCCCCTCGGGCAGGTTCAAGCCATTCCCCTTGGCCTGTCCCTACAGGCCCTTGTCCCAAGCCCCTCTCCAGGTTTCCTGCAGCCCCTTTAGGCACTGGAGCTGCTCTAAGGTCTCCCCTTCAGGAGCCTTCTCTTGTCCAGGCTGCCCCAGCCCAGCTCTCTCAGCCTGGCTCCAGAGCAGAGCTGCTCCAGCCCTCGCAGCATCCCCATGGCCTCACTCCAACAGCTCCAGGTCCCTCTTGTGCTGCTGCCCCAGAGCTGCAGGGGGGCTCCCCAGAGCTGGCTCTGGTTGCTCACTCCCAGGTTAATCCTCACCTCCTGCTCCCGCAGGTGGATTTTCCGCTGCCTCTCCCCGGTCTCCAGGCTCGGAGCCGTCTCCATCCCGGTTGACGTCAGGCGGGTGCTGGGTGCCGGGGGTGCAGCACCCTCTGCTCCTTGGAGACCGTCTGTTTGCTCCCGTGCCCGGTGCTTGGTGCCGCGCTGGCTGTGGGGACCGGGGGCAAATCCTGCCTGGGGTGATGGGAATAGGCTGGAATTCCCCATTGGGTTTGCATGGGGACACCGCGGGCTCCAGCCCCTCGCCTTGCTGGGGTCACCCAAGGATGCAGGGGAGGACATGGAGTGGAGACACCCCTCCTCTGCCTGCACCCATCGCCATGGGGCAGCAGGGCCCTGATGGGCTCTTGTTCTATACCTGGAGGTCTCTGCCTCAGGGAGGAGATGGGGAACCCTCAGTGTGGCCAAGGGGAAGGGGCTGCTGGGGTTTTGCCCTCTTCTGATAGAGCATTGCACCCCAAACTGACCCTCAGCTCCAGAAGGAGGAATATGCCCCCCCCCCCCCCGCATCATTCCCAGTTGGACCAGCAACGCATCCCCCAGACAGCGTCGTCATCTGTGCTGTTTGGACTCCAACCCCTCTGCTTGCCCCCACCCCAGCCCCAGCACCCCAGGATATCCCCCTGCCCTTTTCCATATGGATAAACTGAGGCAGGGAATGGCTTGTGGGGAGCACAAAACAGGACCTGGCAGGTTTGGCACATTGACCCAATCTCCATCCCATGCAGGGAGGGCTGAGCTCAGGGTGAGAGCATCACCAGAGCCATGGGATGGGGCTGTCCCCATGGCTTGGGGCCATCTCCATCACTTCCCTTTCCAGCCCCATTGGTGGAGCTTTTGGCTAAACAAGAAGTGCTTTTGGACTTAGAGGGGCTGCTTTTCTCCCACCATGGACCAAAGCATCAGCCTGGACATCACATCTGTGGCCTTGTTTGCCCTAATGATGGCCCCTCCTTGTCTCCCAAGGGCTGGGGGGAGTGAACTTCCCCACCTGGAGCTGGGAATTAAAGCACCTCCACTTCCCATTCCTTCTTTCCCTGTTCCCATTGCATCCCTGTATGTGGTGGTGGGGGCTGCCTGGTCCCCAGCTCTGTCCCAGGACCCTGCTTTTAGCACTAAAGAGGCTGCTATGGCTCCAGCATCACCTTTGCTTCCCCCTGGGCTCTCAGTTTGTGGTGGGGACTGGAGGAGCTGGTGGCCAATGGACATGGAGCAGCTTTAAGCTCCCTTCCCACCCAGACCAGGCTGGGATTCAAGGTGCTGCTGCTGTTTCCTCTCCAAGGCCTGGGGTTCAGGATGCGTGGTTGGGGCTGACCCTGAATCCCTTGGATGCTCTGTGTCAGGAGATTGATTTTCCTTAAGCAGCTGGAGCTGGCAGCTGGTCAGGGTGCTGCTGGTGCTGCCCAGCCCCATGGGGCTCCATGGGCATCCCCTTGGCTCTGGTTTGGGTGTTAATTGTCAGTATTTAAGCTCTACGGCTGTTATCCAGGTTGGGGCTTGGGATAAGCTGCATGGTCGGGTGTCTGACTGCTGCTGGTGGTGATGCTGGTGATGCTGGTGATGCTGCTGGTGGTGGTGATGCTGATGGTGATGGTGATGCTGATGGTGATGCTGGTGATGCTGATGGTGATGCTGGTGGTAATGCTGGTGATAATGCTGGTGATGCTGCTGGTCGTGGTGATGCTGATGGTGGTCGTTGTCCTGATGCTGGTGGGACATTGTGTTGGGTGCTCACTCTTTGCAAGGGGATGGGGACAAGCAGCTTCTTCTGTTTACCCCAGGCAGCGCAGTGGGGCTGGTTTTACTTGTTTTACATATCTATGGGTGCATCCAGCTCACCCCAACCACCATGGGTGCGTGCAGGGGGCTGATTTCCCCCCCTCTCTGCTCACACGCATCTCATCGCACCAAGCCCCATGCCCATCACTGGTGGTACCTTTGTGGGGTACCACCAAGGGCAGGGACTGGGAGTGATGGGGATGCTCCCCCAAACCCTTCCATAGGGGTTTCTCCCTTTGTCTGTTCCAAACCATCGCATACTTCGCTCATCTATTTTGGGGCTGGGCAGGGGCACAGCACCATCTAGTGCTGCTGCGGGCAGGGAATCACCCGGCTGGAAATCCAGGAGGAGGAAATCCCAACAGGATTCCAAGCCCGGCTCTGCTCTATATCCCTGGGGATGGAGGCCAGTTGCTCCGTGTCAGACTGTGGTTGCCAATGCAGCATCTTCGGCCTCACTGTGCTGGTGTGGATGGTTGGAGGAGGGATGGGACCATTGCCAAGCACAAGGGGATTGATGGTGATGAGGATGGTGGAGGAAGAAAGCCTGGGGCAGACGTGGGGGGAATAAGGAGCAGAGCACCTATATCCCAGCCTTGGGACTGCGTGTGCTCCCAAGGAGGGATGCTTGGGGGTCCCTTTGCATGGAGCTGGGGTGTATGGGAGGGGAGTGTGTCCTTTGGGTGCTGGGAAGGGTGGTATTTGTGTCTGTGTCCCCCATCCTCTCTGCTTTCGAGGGGGGTGAAGGATGTGCATCCCCCAAGCAGGACCACAGCACTGGAGCACCCTGGGCTGGGGATAACGGAGCTGAGAAAGGGCTTTTTGGGGAGGGAAATGCTCCCTTTGGACACCCAGCTTGATGCTAAAGGGGGCCTTGACTTGGCAGCAGGTAACAGGGGGCGTTTGAGGGCTGGATGGGCTGCGAGTGCCCCAGGAACGGGTCAGAGCCTCCTGCATCCCCATCCCGCTGCTGGGGCCATGGCAGGGGCATCCCATGGGGCTTCCACCTTCTCTTCCAGAGCAAGCTGGTCAAGTACTTCAGCCGGCAGCTGTCCTGCAAGAGGAAGGTGGCCCTGCAGGAGCGCAATGCCAAGCTGGAGGGCTTCCCCCAGCTCCTGCACTGGTTCCGCATCGTCGACATGCGCAAGGAGGTGATGGAGGTGAGGGCCCTGCTGTGGCCGTGGGTACCGTGCTCTGGGGTGCTTCATCCAGGGGGTTGTGGGGTCCTTGAGCAGAACCAGCCAAAGGGGAGAGGTTTGTCTGTGATGGAGCCCGGGTTGAAGCCTTGTGCTTGGGCCTTGGTGCAGGCTGGGGCACTGGAATGGAGGAAGGAGGTTGTTTCACTGCATGGAAGATGCTGCAGGTCCATGGTGGGATGCGCCTCTAGGGCCACCCCACAGCTCTCCTGCAGTGAGGGCACCCCATTGGTGTTCCCACTGAAGGACATGGGTGCCAGGGGGACATTGTGGGTGCTGCTTCCCCTTCTCAATGGGGGCCTCCCACATCCCTGTCACAGTGTAGTGATGGCATGGGTGAATCCCAGAATCCCAGCCTGGTTTGGGTTGGAAGGGACCTTAAAGCTCCTCCAGTTGCAACCCCTGCCATGGGCAGGGACACCTTCCACTGGAGCAGGTTGTGTCCAGCCTGGCCTTGAACACTGCCAGGGATGGGGTATTCACAAGTTCCTTGGGTTTTCCTGTAGATTGAGATGGAAAATGAATGTTTTTGTGTCTGGGACCCAAATGGGGTTTCTCCTCTGTACACCCTGAGGGTTAGGGGATGCTCCGGGGGGGGTGTGTGTGTTATTCCTCCTTCCTCACTCCTGCCCCTATTCCTCCCTGTCAGGAGATCACCCCAGGGCAGCTGAGCCTGGAGGAGCTGCTGGACATGACCGATGACCAGGTCTGTGCCACCGTGGAGAAGTTTGGGGCCAACAGTGAGGAATGCGCCCGCCTGAACGCTTCCCTCTCCTGCCTCCGCAGCGTCCACAAGTCCGGTGAGTCGGGCACCCCGCTACCCACGGTGGGTCCCCCGGAGCTGGAACCCCCTCCAGTGCGCTGGCACTGCGGGGAGCATGGCTGCAGTGCATTGGAGGTGTTTGCAGGGTCTTCTCCATGGATGCAGAGCTCCTGCATCCCTGGGGGATGGCTGGGTACCACTGCACAGGGGACATCGTCGCTCAGTGCATCCCTGTGGCTTGGGGATGTCTCGCCTTTCTAGGCATGATGGGTTCATAGAATCATGGTTTGGGTTGAAGGGACCTTAAAGGTCATCAGGTTCCAACCTCTGCCACACGCAGGGACCCCTTCCACTGGAGCAGCTTGCTCCAAGCCCCTGTGTCCAACCTGGCCTTGAGCACTGCCAGGGATGGGGCAGCCACAGCTTCTCTGGGCACCCTGTGCCAGCGCCTCAGCACCCTCACAGGGAAGAGCTTCTGCCTAAGAGCTCAGCTCAATGGGTCATTTCTCTGCAGGGAGGTTTTGCCCCCCAGTGTTCCTTATGGGGCCCCCCCCGACCCCTGTTCCTTGCAGGAGCACAGCCGGTGCTGTGGGTACCGCGGGGGTGCTGTGTGTGCGGGCTCTGCATCCCCGGGCGGTGGCAGCAGAGCTCTGCGCTGGGGATGCTGCTGCAGCGCTCTCGGATGCTCTGGATGCTGCTCCCGCTCTGTGCGAGCAGCGGCCGCGGTTCCATGGGGAAGGGGCGAGCGGTGCCTGCGCAGGACCGAGCTCTGCCGGGGCCTTGTCCCGTCCCGTCCCCCGTGTGTGATGGGGACCAAACCCTGCTGGCGTCATGCTCATCCCTGCTGCTGATCCCCTGCCTTGGTGCTTGACAGTGCAGGGTGCACATGGCTGGTACCATATGGGTATGTGGGGAATGGGCATTCCCTTCTGGAGCAGATGGGGGAATGGTGAACCCCAGTTCCCAGTTTAACTCCCCTTTTGTCCCCTTCCCAAGAGCTCCCCTCCTGCTCCTGGCTGGGACGATGGCTTTGGGCTGGTTTCGCTGTGGTCCTTGTGGTGTGGCAGCGTGTGTGGCCATGACCCTTCTGTAGCAGGACCCCAATCCTGGGGGTGTGGGGGCCCCTCTGCCTGGCTTCTGTCCCCTTGCAATAGATGCAGCTGCATCCCAGGGGCTGGGGGCTGGAGGATGAGCCCTGCTGGGATCTGCATGTTCAGAGCAGCCCCTGGTGATGTGATGGGGATGCAGCTCTTGGGGACCAGCAGTGTCTTCCCCATTCCCATTGGCACAACACGGCCCCAGGTCCTGCCCTGGAGGGGACTTGGCCACATCCACCCATTGTGGTTACTGCAGCTCCTGCGGGCATCCTCATGGCACGGTGTGGCACAACGGCAGCGCCAGCCTGCACAGGGGGTGGTGGCAGAGGGTCCCTGTGCTGGAGCATCGACGCCTGAACCCAGCCTGACATTCCCCATGGAGCACGAGTGCCTCCATGCTCCTTAACTCCTAAACCCAGCTCCCGGCTGTGCTCTGCCCTCCTTCCCTTTGGCATTTGCACTAAGCCTCTCTGCTATTTGAGGAAGGGCATCAGCGCTCCCTCAGCCTGCTCTTTGTTTAAACACCTTTGACTTCTAACGACCATCGCAAACAAACCCTGCTTTGCTCTCTGTGCTGCCTGCATCCCCCTTCCTGCCCCTCCACTTGCTCAGCCATGGGAATTCCACCCCTTTGTGCTTTGGAAAACCCACGTGAGCCTTTGGAGCAGCTGCAGTGGAGATGCTGAAGCATCTTCTGCTCCTCTGGTGCCTTCAGAGCTGGGGGTACCACAGGCCTGCGGGATGCTCGCTGCTCCATTGGCGTTTTAATGGGGCAAGTAATGGGGCTGCCAGCCCCCATGGTGGGACGTGGCTTGGTGGCCCATTGGGTCCCTGCAGGAGGGAGCTTGCTGCTATCCAGGCAAAACGCCTTCCCCAGCGCTCCATTTAACTCCATCCATCACCGTGCTGCGGGCTGGGATGTGTGGGGAGGGCTTGTTTGGTTCCTCTGGCACTGCAGGGATGCTGCGGTGCCTGTTCCTGCTCTGCAGTGGTCCATGGTGTTTCCAGCTGATGTGGGTCCTGTTGGGGACAGGGAAGGGACCCGCAGATGGGATGCAGGAGCCTCAGGTGACCAAACCTCCCTGGCATTCCAGAGGGTTTGGATGCAGAAAGCTCCATCCTGGTTCCCAGATGGTGTCCTTGTATCCCGCTTGGCACCGCTGCATGGTCCCTGCCTCTGTGCTGGTGCTTCCCTGCCTGGCAGAGCCTTTATGTGGTCAAATGGCCCCATCTCAGCAGTCCCCTTGCCTTCTGTCATGTGGAAGAGAGGGAGCACAGCTTCTGCAGGCAGGGAGGTGAGGGTGATGATTCCTCTGCCTGGGTCAGGGTGAGGTTGGGTGGTGGGATCAGATCATCCCATCCATGATGGGGCTGAGACAGCGTGGTCCAGGCATGGACCGTGCTGCAGGGATAAGGAATGGGCAGGAGAGATGTAGTGCGTTTGCGATGTCCCTGTGATGCTGGAACCAAGCAGGGATGGGGCTGCAGCTCTGCAATGTGGGGTGTACTAAAGCAACAATGTGCTCCCTGCATCCCTGCATCTCTGCATCCCTGCATCCTTGCATCCCTGCATCCCTTCATCCCTGCATCCACTATGTTTCAGCAGATGCTGAGCTCCACATCTCACCGCCCCTCCATAAGCTGTCACACTCAGTGATGGACGTGAGTTTTTACCTGCCTCCTATCTCCTTGTAAAGCAAGGACAGTCCTAGTCTGAAAGGATAATTAATGAACAAGTTGCTGCCTCTTTAAGCCATCATGTAATTCCTTTGCAAGTGCAGTAGTGGTCAATGTCTAGAAGCCAAGATGAGTATTAATAAAGCAGGAATGAGGTACAGGATTAACCTTTTCCATCAATCTCTATCTATTGAGTCATTAATTAGAGGCATCTGATTTCCCAGGGCCAGTTCTGCCTGGGGATGGTCTGGGATGAAGCAGGGATGAAGTGGGATGCTGCTTCATTGCTTAAATGGGAGGAATGTTGATGGCTTGAAGGTTCCTTTTCCCCAAGCATCCTGGGGATGCATCACGAAAAGCCCTGGAGCACCCTCATAAACCAAAGCTGTGTTGTGCTTATCAAACCCAGTGGCAGCCCCACATTAAAGCCCTGCTTTCTCGTGCTAACAAGTCCGTATTGGGTTCTTCTGGCTGTGAAACCTCCCCCTTGGCAGGGGGATCTCAGCAGCCAAAGCATTGGTTTGGAGCTGGGAGAGGGATTAATTGAATGTTAAATAGGATGGGGGAGCTGATGGGCTGTGATGAGAGAGCTCTGCGGGAGGGTGGGAGCTGTCCCATAGGGAACAGTGATCCAGAGTGGAACATCCATGATCTGTTCTGGCCCTGGGAGGGCTGCAGGGAGCTGGGGATGGTGCAGGGTCAGGCAAGGCCATGAGCAGCTGCTATGGGATGTGTAAAGGTCCTTCTTTGTGTGTCCATGTCCCTGTGTCTGCAGAGTGTGATGGAATGAACCTCCTCTGTATCATGCAATAGAGCCTCAGCACCCTCACAGGGAAGAGCTTCTGCCTAAGAGCTCAGCTCAGTCTCCCCTCGGGCAGGTTCAAGCCATTCCCCTTGGCCTGTCCCTACAGGCCCTTGTCCCAAGCCCCTCTCCAGGTTTCCTGCAGCCCCTTTAGGCACTGGAGCTGCTCTAAGGTCTCCCCTTCAGGAGCCTTCTCTTCTCCAGGCTGCCCCAGCCCAGCTCTCTCAGCCTGGCTCCAGAGCAGAGCTGCTCCAGCCCTCGCAGCATCCCCATGGCCTCCTCTGCACTCGCTCCATCAGACCCATGTGTGTTGGGGCACACAAAATACCATGAGAAAAGTCATTTCCCCCCTGTTCCACACGAGAAAACTGCAACTTTTGCTTTCATTTCCTAAAGCAAAAAATGCTGGGAATAATTTACTGCCCTTTAGGGAGCCGGTGGCTGTAGGGATCCGTACCCAAAGCAGCTTCCCACCCTGACTGCTCCCTGGGGGGTGCTGCAAGAGCTCTCTCCTTCCCTAAAGGCAGCATCCAGATGACCTAACAGAGATGTGCACAGAACCAGGGCAAGGTCCTGGCTTGCTTCACAGTGAGGGAAGCTCTTCCCTGTGAGGGTGCTGAGGCGCTGGCACAGGGTGCCCAGAGAAGCTGTGGCTGCCCCATCCCTGGCAGTGCTCAAGGCCAGGTTGGACACAGGGGCTTTGGAGCAAGCTGCTCCAGTGGAAGGGGTCCCTGCCTGTGGCAGGGGTTGGAGCTGGAGGAGCTTTAAGGTCCCTTCAACCCAAACCCTTCATTCTGGGATATTCCATCTCTCTTTGCTGCATCCCAGCCCCGTTTGCTGCTCTCTGCCTCCTCCCAGGAGTTTGTTTCCTTGTTGACATTAATGGAGTGGTTCAGTGATGGCTTCTCCCCTGGTGATGTGCAGTGGGATGGAGGAGGCTGGGCTCAGCACGGGGGCAGCAGCAGCAGCATCACAGACATAAGTAAAACCAGATGTGGCCCCGATGAGCATCTCCCTTTGTGCCAGTGTCCGGGACTCAGTGGCCCATGGGGTCGGAGCGATGGTGGGCGGCTGTGGCTGATGCTCGTTTCAATATGCCATCCATATTCCCTATCCACACAAAACAAACAGGCTTTTAGGGGTGAACAGCACCACTGAGGCAAGCAGGGCTTGGGGAAAACTGGATAAAGGGGAGTTGGATGCTGTGTGAGCTCTTCCCTTGCTTTTCCAACTGGGAATCTGCTCTGGCAGAGCAGCAAGGCCTGGGGGAGCCCTGGTACGGAGTGAAATCCTAAAGCATGTAACAGGCTTTGCAGAAAGAAGAGCTTGGGGATCTTTCTGTTGTTGTATTTTCCCTTTCAAGTGTGTTCACGGTTTAAGCTCATCCCATCAAGCGGATGCCCGTTACCTGCAGCGTTCCTGGAAGCATCCGTGTGTGGAAAATGCATCTCCCAGCTTCTCCTGGGTGTTTTTAACCCTTGCAATGAGTTACTTTTGCTCTCAAGGGCATCCGTTGTGTTCTGAGCCTCAAAAGGGACAGTGACAATGGGGGGTGCGGTGGCCACGATGCCCTGGTTGAGTTTTGGGTGGTGGGAAGCGGTCTTGGTCTCCTCCTCCATTGACTGCTGCTGATCACTGCTGGGGTGCTGCAGGGTTGAGTTATGCAAATCTATGAGTGTGGAGCAGCCAATGGGGAGCGCTTTGATTTGCATACGTGCATGTTGGTGTGTGGGTTAATTAACCAGAGGTGGTTGATGGTTTCCAAGGGGGTTTCATTAATGATGCTGTGTCCTTCCTTGCCCATGCCCGCCTTCCTCTGGCTGTGTATGAACCCACCAGTCAGGGTGGCCTCAAGGACTGGTGGCACCAGTGGCCCTGGGGATGAGGAGACAGCCTGGATGGGTGGCACTGGGTGATGGTGCCTGCAAGGGTGGCCTTGCTCAGGGGGATATGGCCCCATGCAGGGCTGTGTTTGCTGGGGGGTGACACAGAATCCCAGCATGGTTTGGGTTGAAGGGAGCTTAAAGCTCCTCCAGCTCCAAGTCCCTGCCACCTTCCACTGGAGCAGCTTGCTCCAAGCCCCTGTGTCCAACCTGGCCTTGAGCACTGCCAGGGATGGGGCAGCCACAGCTTCTCTGGGCACCCTGTGCCAGCGCCTCAGCACCCTCACAGGGAACAGCTTCTGCCTTAGATCCAACCTGAACCCCCCCTGTTTAAGCTTGAAATGCTCCAAGTTGTCACCCGCTGTGTCCCCACTGCGCTGTGTTGGTGAGGAAGGGGCTTTGGTGTGTGCCCGTGGTGGGTTTGGACATCAGCTCCATCCTGGCAGCTCCAACCAAGGCTTCCCTACAGCGGGGTTTTGTCTTTAATTAATCAAAGCAAGGTGTTAACTCCCTCTTTATGAGCCTCCTGCTGAGCCAAAGGGGGGTTGTAGCAGCTTCACAGCACTTGCTGTAGTTTGTGCTCTGGGAGAGCGATCCATGAATCCCCCTCATCCTCCTCCTCCCGCAGAGCTGTGTTTTCAACCCATCCCCAAAGCCCTTTTCCTCCTTTGCTTTTTCTTCCTGAGCTTGAAAGGAAACATTCCCCTTGAAAAGGCTGGGAAAGGGCCAGGCAGCTCCTAATCAAAGAGGGGCTGGGGAAGGAGGCTTTTTGGAGCAGAGCAATTAGGTTTGTGCTGGTTTTCTTGGCAGAGGTGATCAAAAGGTGTTGGAGAAGAGACCTTGTGTTGGGTCTATGGCTTTGGTGCTCTGTGCTCGCTGCCACCAGCCCTTCACTGGAGGGATCAGTAATTAGCTGCAGAGAGGAGCCCCACTTAATTACAGTCGCCTTCCTTGATGCCAATGGCACAAAGGGGTAGCACAAGGCAGAAGTTTGCAGGAGGGAGATGGGAGCATCAGCCTGGGCAATGGGTGTCGCATCCCTATAGGTTGTTTGGGGTGGTGGTGGCAGGGGGTGACAAGTGGGGGGCTCAGAAGGTGGGCAAAGCACCTCTGTAATGCTTGTAAAGGACCTGCTTGGATTTGCATGTGTGTAACATGAAGAAGCTTTCTTGTAGAATCATGGAAGAGTTGGAAGGGACCTTAAAGCTCCTCCAGCTCCAACCCCTGCCACAGGCAGGGACCCCTTCCACTGGAGCAGCTTGCTCCAAGCCCCTGTGTCCAACCTGGCCTTGAACACTGCCAGGGATGGGGCAGCCACAGCTTCTCTGGGAACCCTGTGCCAGCGCCTCAGCACCCTCACAGGGAAGAGCTTCCTCCTTATCTCCAACCTAAATCTCCCCTGTTTCAATCTGAACCCATCTCCCCTTGTCCTGTCCCTACAGTCCCTGATGAAGAGCCCCTCTCCAGCATCCTTGTAGCCCCCTTCAGGCACTGGAAGCTGCTCTGAGCTCTCTGTGCAGCTTCTCTAATCCAGGCTGAGCAGCCCCAATGTTCTCAGCCTGGCTCCATACAGGAGCTGCTGCAGCCCCCTCCTGCTGGCACTTGGGATGCACTGCCAGCTTGGGGGCTCCTTTTACCCCCCCATAACCCCACCTCTGTGCTCTATTGCAGGCGGCAGCCTCTCCAAGCAGGACTGGACCATCCAGTGGCCCACGACGGAGCCGGGGAAGGAGAACAGCCCGGGATGCCCGGCGGAGCCAGCACAATGGGGCAGGACTCACCTCTTGCCGAGCCCCAAGGTGCAGCCCAAGTGCGGGCAGCATCACTGCCACGGGGGCTCCCCGCACGGACCCATGTACACCCACGTGGACCGCTTGACCGTCGAGGGCCACCCGGGGCTCTGCCCACCCATGGAGTCGGGGCACCGGTCCTTGCCGCCGTCGCCGCGGCAGCGCCACGCTGCTCACCCCCCACCGCGCACCCCCAACATCGTCACCACCATGACCCCGCCGGGGACGCCGCCGCTGCGCCGCAGGAACAAGCTGAAGCCCCCCGGGACGCCGCCGCCGGCCTCGCGGAAGCTGATCCACCTCCTGCCCGGCTTCACCGCGCTGCACCGCAGCAAGTCCCACGAGTTCCAGCTGGGGCACCGCGTGGATGAGGCGCACACCCCCAAGTAAGAATGGGGTAGGGGGGGGTGATGAGCCCCATCCCAGAGCCTTCGGAATGGTTCCTGAAGCATGGAATGGGTTGGGTTGGAAAGGATGTTAAGGTCGTCCAGTTCCAACCCGCTGCCTTGGGCAGGGGCACCTCACACTAAACCGTGGCACTCTGCATGGCAACCTGTGCTTGAACACTGCCAGGGATGGAGCATTCACAGCCTCTCTGTTCAACCCATTCCAGCGCCTCAGCACCCTCACAGGGAAGAGCTCCTGCCTTAGATCCAACCTGAACTTCCCCTGTTTCAGTCTGAACCCATCACCCCTTGTCCTATCACTCCAGTCCCTGATGAAGAGTCCCTCTCCAGCATCCTTGTAGCCCCCTTCACACACTGGAAGCTGCTCTGAGGTCTCCAGCAGCTTCTCTTCTCCAGGCTGAACAGCCCCAATGTTCTCAGCCTGGCTCCATACAGGAGCTGCTCCAGCCCCTGAGCATCCTCATGGCCTTCCCTGGCCTTGCTCCAACAGCTCCATGTCCTTATGTTGAGGACATCAGACCAGAGTGCAACATCCTATTTTCACCTTTGAGGTAGAAAAGCCCTTTGCAGCTCAAAGTAGACACCACCCCATTGGGGATGCTGTTGGGATGGTGTCTACTTTGCTCCCTGGGAATGTGGGGTGGATGGGGAGCACCAAGGGGCTCCAGCAATCATGGAGCACAGCATGGGTGAGCTGGGTGGTGGGGTTTTGATACTGCAGCGTGGGATGTAAGGACTGTGTGTGGGTTTGAGCGTGTTCAAGAGCTCTTGGAAGCCTACAAGGATGCTGGGGAGGGAGCTTCATCAGGGACTGTAGTGATAGGGCGAGGGGTGATGGGTTCAGACTGAAACAGGGGAAGCTCAGGGTGGATCTAAGGTAGTTCTCCACTATGAGGGTGCTGAGGCGCTGGCACAGGGTGCTCAGAAGAGCTCTTGAGCTCCTGCAGAAGACTCCTCAGTCTCTGCCCATCCTTTCCCACTGCTCTTGCTCTGTGGCTCCGGCACCGGCAGAGGCTGCTGCTGTGCAGGGAAAGGGCTCCCAGCACCAAGGTGCTGCATCTCCATCCCCTATGAGCGGTGCAGAAAGCCCTGATGCTGCCTCGGTGCGGGCTGGCAGGGGGGAGCGATGCTCACCCCGGGGCATCATCTCCTCTCTGCAAGGATGCGTTGGGATGAAGGAGCCCCAGGGCAGGCTGTGCTGCCAGACCCGGGTCTGCCCCAGTTTGAGCAGGAGCAGACCAGAACAGGTTTGGAACGGGCTTGGGATGGCCGCAGCATCCTGGTGTCACTTGTTCCCCCCTTGTGTCCCTAAGGCTGCGGCATCCCCCGGGCTGTGGTTGTTGCACTAAATGGGGTGTTTATTAAATGGGGAGGGCAGTCGTTGGTCTGGGCTGTGACCTGTTGGTGTCTAAAGGCTGCTCAATGCATCCAACAGGGCTGTGACCTGTTGGTGTCTAAAGGCTGCATCCAACAGGGCTGTGACTTGTTGGTGTCTAAAGGCTTCTCAATGCATCCAACAGGGCTGTGACCTGTTGGTATCTAAAGGCTGCTCAATGCATCCTCTAAGGCCACTCTTCCCCTCATGCTTAGGCACTGGGAAGCTGAATTTACTTTGGTCCATCCCGGTGAGCATCCCCACATTCACAGGAGCAGCCCATCTCCTCTCATATTTCTGTTCCAGCATCCTATCCAAGCCCTACTCTCATTAATGGAGTGGGCATCTCCAAGGGCAAAGCCTTCTCTTGCTTCCTCACATCCATTTGATCCCCAGTGTGGTCATCGCATGCTCCAGCTCACCCTGATATGGGTCTGGGTGAGGTTTGGACATGGGTGTCTGGACCTTACTCCAGCAAAACCCCTTTGGGTGCTGATTCCCCAAGCCAGGCTGCAAGCTGCTCTAATGGAAGGTGTCCCTACCCATGGCAGGGGTTGGAACTGGGTGAGCTTTAAGCTCCTTTCCAACCCAAACCATGGCTCTTTTGGACCCTGTCTGTGTCCAGTGTCTCTGGTGCTCCCCTTCCTGGTGGTGTTGGACAATCCATGGATAATGAATTAATAGAGGGAAGAGAGAGCCGATGCTAACAGCCGATGCTGTGCGTTCTACCAGGGGTTCATCCTGTCGATATAGGGGTCCCAACCTTGGGAAAGCCACTTGGAGAACAGAAAAGATGAATCCTCCCTAATGGCACTTCATGGGTTTTCAGTAGACAACCACTAAATCCCACTTGCTAATCCCATTAGTGCTTCGGGAGAATAATTAGTGCATTAGAGAGGCAGCTTCTTCTCTTCCTCCTTTTCCCCAGCAGAGGTGTGCTCAAGTTGAGCTGTTCATCAGCCTGGATGTGATGGGTAACACAGAGAAAAAGTGGCTTTTTGGGCTGCTATCAGCTAATTCCTGTTTTATGGCTGTGTCTGTGCAATGCACCTGTATTTTGGGGTGGGTTTGATTCTTTTTAGTGTCGTAAGTGCGGTGTCTGGGTCCTCTGTGCTCTCTGTAAGAGGGAGGCTTCATCCTGGCCTCAGACACGAAATGGGGCTCATCCCTGAATTATGATTGCAGGTCTCCAATCAACCCCTTCTGGTTTTAGCTGTTCCAGTGGGCTCTTGGCTTGCTTTGGATCATGGCTTTCTGTTCCCTGTTTGTATCCCAACATGGAAATAGGGGCTAGACCTGGAGAGCCGATGGTGTGGGGACACTGCTGGGGACCCCAAGTGTGCGTGGGCATCTCCTGGGGTGATTCTGGGTCTCAATTTGTCCCTATTCCTGCCTCTCTGCAGACTGGTCCCTGGTGGAACCCATCTGAAACCCTCTCAGGAGGGAGGCTGGTGTCCCCCAGGCTGATGTACCTGGTGAGCCCCGTCTCAGGATGGGGGGAAATGGGCTCTGGGGAGCCAGGGATACCCAGATGCAAGATGCCGTGGGTGCTGTGGGGCTGCCCCACAGATTATTCAATGCAGGCACTGAAGTAAAACACCACCATGTATTTGTGAGAGCAGGAGCAGCGACTGAGTCCTCTCTGGAGCAAAAGGCCACCACGTACCACTTGATTCTTGATGCCAGCTCCTAAATTTGCTTGTATTTCATGGTTTGGAGTTTATTTCTAGGGCTTAATCCATTGCTTTTGCGTGCCAAGACCTTCTGAAGCAGGGGTTAAGGCTTTTTTGAGCTTCCAGGCTCAGCTTTTCCTGCATGGAGCCTCCAGCTGTTGACCGTAACTCTGGAGTATGGACCATTACTCCTAAAAAGATCCCCTGGCTTCCATAAACCCACAATCCATAAACACCCCGGGAATGGCCTTGCAAGGGAAACAAAACATTTAGAGTGCTTGAGAATATAATGCCCATTTACTACCTCCCGAATTCCACGGCCCATTTCAGTCCTTCCTGGGTAGTTAATGGTTATCCATCAGCAAGAAGGCAGGAGAAAAACCCAACCCAGTGGAAGGGCTTAAAAGGACCTCAGTTGGGGAGTAAAAGTCAGGTTGGTTGAGACTGAGCCCAATGGTGTGTGTTAACCCTTGATGGGGAGTGTGTAAAACAGCCTCTGGAGGGGAGATCTGCCCCAGGGTAGGTGGGTGCTTGGGTCCTCTCCATCCTTACACCCATATAAAGGGGAGCTGAGCCAGCAACCTCATTGCCTTCCCAGCTGTGGTTCCTTTGGCCAAGCTCATGAGCTCCGTGGCTTTCAAGGAGCAGCCCCTGGTGATGAGATGGGAGGGAGGAGCAGAGCAGGTCCCCAGTGGATTAAAGCAGCGTGACCCGGCAGAGCTGAGCCCCAGGGGATGCTGAGCTCTCCCCAGGCTGGGTGAGTGCTGCACCCAGGGCAGGTTTGGGCTGGGAGGAGGCTCCTGCAGCTCAAGGCAGCTTTGGTGTAGGTGTGTTTTCAATGAAGGCTCCTTATCCTGTATCACTGCAATCCCATCCCAGGTGTGGGTGCAGGTAGGGTTGGGTGCTCTGGTGACAAAGTCTGTTTATCCAGAGCCATGCAATGGTTGGCTTCCTTGCCTTGTGCCTCATTGATCCTGAGGTTGTATCATGGTCAAGTCTTTTCCCAGTGCCTAAAGGGGCTGCAGGAAACCTGGAGAGGGGCTTGGGACAAGGGCCTGTAGGGACAGGCCAAGGGGAATGGCTTGAACCTGCCCGAGGGGAGACTGAGCTGAGCTCTTAGGCAGAAGCTCTTCCCTGTGAGGGTGCTGAGGCGCTGGCACAGGGTGCCCAGAGAAGCTGTGGCTGCCCCATCCCTGGCAGTGCTCAAGGCCAGGTTGGACACAGGGGCTTGGAGCAAGCTGCTCCAGTGGAAGGGGTCCCTGCCTGTGGCAGGGGTTGGAGCTGGATGAGCTTTAAAGGTCCTTTCCAACCCAAACCAGGCTGTGACTCTGTCATACCCTGAATGGGTGAAGTCAGATGTGAAGTTCACATCTGCTCTTGTGATAGCGCACATATCCCCTTCCTTATGTTCCTCTTGTATTACTTCCAACTTTAACTTGAAGCTTTGTGTGTTGTGGGTGGTTTTCCCCATCCCATGTAGCAGAAAACCCCCCTGAGAAACAGGATATATCCTGCAGCACTTGGTCAAGACTGGTGTGAGATCCTACTTGGGGCCTCTAGGCATGGAGGTAAGACTGAGTCACAGACTTATAGAAACCTGGGACCCAAGGTCTTCTTTAGCCCACCAAGCAGCCCGTGGTTGCACTGTCCCTAGAGTTAACAATCTAAGGTGGAATTCAACGTTACTGAGAGATGGGTCATTGATTCTGCTGCTCTGCAACCTTTCTAACAATGATGTTTTCGCTTGTATCAATGCCAATCAACTCTTCTAGCAGGTAGATCAATTATTTGCTATTCCACACGGGCTGGATTTGAAAGAGCAGCATTGAGATGGATCTCGTGCTTGGTGCGTCTGACATTTCCCAGCCTTGGAAAGGCAAGTGGGATCTTGGCACTGGGGATGAGCAAGAGATTGCTGTTTGCAGAGCAGG